AATATATTTGAGTATATTATTTTTCAAAGTGTCAGAAATGGATAACAAAACTGTTATTTTAAATAACTATATATTTTTGTCCAGCTTTAACATCGGTATCGATATCGGTTATCGACTACATGAGTTTTAAAATATCGGCATATCGGATATCGGCCAAAATCCCAATATCGTGCATCCCTAGTATCAACCCCCCCACCCCCGGCCGGTCCGTGAAAATATTGTCTGTATTGTCTGACAAATAGCGGTCCGTGGTTGAAAAAAGGTTGGGGAACGCTGCTCTAGGGGACACAGTTAGGCTGCTTAGATTTAACTACCTGCAAACCTACAATGTAAAAGAGATTTTAGTTGGCAACTATTTTGTTGTTTTTTTATGTTTTTGTAAAGTTCGTAATTGCAACATGATGCTGCAGAAGCTTGACACACCCTTAAACATGTGGAAAATTAAAAATAAAAAGGTGTTAGCATTTTTCACAACCAAAAATATACATTTTGTAGAACAAGAAATCCCAGCACTCATTTGCTAAAGTTAGAGGACGCTCATTAAAGTCGTAGGAAAGTCATATTTAAATGTCAAATCATTCTGGCGTAAACATGTATATAAATGTACTCTTTATCAGACTATATTGTCCCAAAATTTAGAACATTTCTATTTCAAAAAAACAAAAATCCTGTCTTAAAATGTGTTGGGGGGGGGTTGTTATCTTATGCAGGCCAGTTAGTTATACGTCATCCTGAACACCTAAATTCGGCTAATCGTATATCAACGGTCATCCGTCAATCAAATTTTGTTGGTCATAGCATCTTGATTGAATGATGAATAAAAATTGTATGACGGAGGAGACTCATCCACGACCTCCGACACAAAACTATCCTCCTCTTGCATGTTTCCACTTTCCATACCATTCCTTGACAGTGCCGTTGCTAAGTTCTACTTGATCCCAATGTAATTACCAATTGGGAACCTACTAGCACTAGCAACGATGCATAAGACAGACCGGCCACAATCAAACCTGCTTGTGAACCTGCGGCCACAACAATCCCGCCCCCTTAAACGACCAATCTAATTCACTTTATTCACTCTTGTAAAGCCGTGCACCACTCAGGAGAATTTGGGAGTGGTGCACAGCTTTTAATGTCAGTTTTATATCTTCTCACATTTTAGTTAAACAGAAAGTAAAACCACCTCATAGTTGATCAGTGCCTCCCCATTGAGTATTACTCTACCTGAAAAAAACTGTTTCTCTCCCCAGTGGCTTCTGCTGAGCAGGCTGCCAAAAAAGACGAGGATGCTTCAAACACTGCTGACAAGGAACCTCAGCTTTCGACAGAAGAGAAAGAGTACCGAGATTATTTAAGGTCTTTGTTTGAGATTCTGTTCATGCTGGCAAAACAAGCAATCCCTTTGACCACTGACAGAGTATCTGAAGAAGAATTAAGGTCCAACAACTTTCAGGCTGTTCTGGATTATTGTATCAATGCCGGAGATGAAGCTCTTAGGAAGAGATTTGAGGTGACAGCGGTAAACAGCGAGTACCTCACCGCCACCCAGCTGAATCAACTCCTAGATGTTTGTGAGAACACTGTGAGGGAAGAGATGCTTATGGAGGTCAGGGAGAGTCGCTTTTACTCCCTGGTGACGGGAGACCTGGTTGACTTTGCCGACAGCAAATACTTGCCGGTGTTCCTCCGCTTCGTCAATCAGCAGAACATCCTAAAAGAGGAGTTTGTGGACTTCCTCCCATTTGTGGATGGAGACGAGTCTGCTCTGGTAGAAAGGCTGGAGGCTCAAATGGTGGAGCGCTGGGGGCTCAGCATGGAGGACTGCCGAGGTCAGGCCCACAATGCAACCGGCACCTCTACCACCAAAATGAAAGCTGTTGCTGTGCTGTTAATGGAGAAGTACCCTCTAGCTCTGCACATGCCTTGTTCTCATATGGCACTGAACATCCACCTCGCCAACAACCTACCTTATCCCAACGTGCAGATCGTCATGGAAAATCTGAGGAGGATAACGTCCTTCTTTAAAGTCTTGCACACTCAGGATGAGCTTGAGAAGGCTATTTCCACTCACTTGCAGAAGAACCCAGAGAAGGGAAATGCTTTGAAACAAATGTGCTCCTCAGGATGGACCGAGCAACATAACGTCTTCGATGTGCTGCTGGATGTTTTGCCTTCCCTCCTGTTATGCATGGACAACATCCGGGCCAATGCAGACGGACGGTTTTCCAGCCGTGTCACAGTTGAGGCATATTCAATTGGAGAAAGTCTTGCAGACTTTGAGGTGATTGTCACCATTGTCATTTTAAAGAACGTTCTAACATTCACCAGAGCCTTTGGGAGGAATCTCAATGGGGAAACACTTCATGTCTTCTCTGCTGTGAACAGTCTAACAGCGGTTCTGTACTCTCTGAATGAGGTCAATGATAACATTGACGTGTACCACGAATTCTGGTACAGCGAGGCTGTGAGCTTGGCCGCCCTCATGGACATCCCCGTGTCCATCCCCAGGCTTTTCGTCCGGAAGCAGCGGGCTGCTGACCTCGGCGAGATCCAAGCGGAGACCTATTTCAAAGAGTACGTAACCATACCAGTGATTCGTGGCATCATGCAGGAAGTGGAGGACATGTTTTCCGACAACAACCTGAAAGCTCTACGGTGCCTATCTCTGGTTCCGGCTGTCATGGGCCACATGAAGTTCAACACCACAGAGGAGAGCTACGCAGAGGTCTACTGTGGCGACCTCCCAAACCCAGACACGCTTCCTGCCGAGCTCCACTGCTGGAGAATCAAATGGAAGCACAGAGGGAAAGAGGTGCGCTTACCAACCACCATCCACGAAACCCTGCAGCTGCCAGACGTGAAGTTCTTCCCCAACGTTGACGCATTCCTGAAGGTGCTTTCCACTATGCCGGTACTTAAAGTCCAGAAGGGCACAGGCGACACCGCAAGCGAGCGGCTGCAGGCTTACCTCAGCAGCATGCCTGCCAAGCATTTAAACAAAAGTCTTGCGATGCTTCACATCAACTCCCACGTCAAACATGACCTGGATGTCATGGTGGACAAATACTGCAGGCTCTATCCTGAGGATGACTCTGAGGCTGAGCCCGAGGATGTGGGCGAAGACGTTATCGTGACAAAAGTGATCTGAAGCAATGGGTCAGACCTTAGCACCAGCCGGTATCAGATCCTCAGTTTTCCTTGGTGTTAATACCGTGGATTTTAGTCTATCAACCTCATCTAATTCTTTTATGTGAAACCGAAAGGGAGGTTATAAACTGATGAATATTAACTCTGTTGTTTTTTTTTTTAGAACATTCTTGTTTTGATATATATTTTTTATACATAGACAAAAGCAACAATTTAGAATATAGAGTGAGGGTTCCCTGTCAGAGCAGGAATGTTTCTACAGGTTTAAGGACAGTGGCTCCTGAGAACTTCAAATAGACGTCCATAGCCGACAAAGAACAGAGTTAAAGGTGATGATGCCGTTATGCTACATGTTCATATTTCCAAACCAAAAAATACGAGTCTTGGTGGGTTGAGAAATGTTTTGTTGTTCTTTTTCTTAGCAACGTGTGGGGGAGGGCCCCAATGTGTTATTCTTGTCTCTCATATTATTGTAGAAAGATCAAACCAGGAAAAGGTTCTGAAGCCTTAATGTTTCCAAACCTCTTTAAACCTAGATGAGTTACTAACCAGTAAGACCTTAAGAAAATGACAAAGCTTCAAGTTGTTAGCAGAATCAGCCAGATGTTCCCAGATGTTCAGTCAAGTTCAAACTAAAATTAGAAAGGATATGAAGAATTTTGGATTTTCATCATATAACGGTGGCAGTTTTGAAAGACTACTGCTGAAAATGAAAAAAACTTCAGTCAAAGGCTTTATTATGTGATGTTCAAATATTCACTGTTTCTCCATCCCTGTTTGTTTACTTTGTAAGGACACTCTAATGCAATGAATTCAATCTTTTTTTTTGCCCTCTAATGTTTGTGACTGTGGAGATGAGCAGATAACTAAATTTTTAAATAAAATCACACAATGGATGCATTCTGGCGAAACGAGTGTGGCTATCCATTGCCTAATGCTTTTCTGTTTTAGCTAGCGCTAGCGTGCCACACTGTCACTTCAAGACACCTTCTTTTGGAAGGAAGGACCAGGACTAAATGAAATGTGATTTAACTGTTTTCTGCATGTACACTGATGTAGAAAGTATGATTTTTCTTCTCTGTATTGTATATTCTACATGTTTTGTTTTGGATAATTGGTTGTTGAAATTTTGATTAAATGCTTTATAAATGAAAGTCTTAATTTTTATCTTCTGCAGAAATAATGATTTCCATAACACATTATCATAGCTTATAACATTTTCTCCTAACTTTTGTAGTTTTGTTTGCTCCAAATAATTCCATGTTTCAAAAGGGGAGATAAATGGTAGGCAGAATTGACAAATTGCATTTTATAATTTACAGAATTTCATGTCAGAGCATATTCAAATGTTTTCATTGATTTCTGCCCAAAAATCTAAGATGAAATATTCTGCACTGTCACTGGTCCATCAAGTGGACCCTAACAGCTGATTGGTTAAGTTGCACGGTAAGTAGACCAATCACCTCCTGCCTTTTTCATCAGGGCCAATCCAACACTCTTAGCACAGTGACACACCATGGTTATTAAACTGGTATCGAGTAGTTTAGTCAATGTGGTCCGGTGCCAAAGTCATATTTCAAATTGAAGGCTGCTATCAACACCACTAGATTATAGCTGATAGAGTAGGGTGTGTTTTTAGTGTTGAGTCCGGTTTCTCTCCTATTCAATTAGCTATGACGTAACTCTATTGTATCCCTGTCAGATGAAAACCAGCTCAAAACTTGTCTGTAAGTCTTCTGTCTCCTTGGAACCAAATGGCCAATTTATACTTCTGATGCATAGCCTTTGCAACCGTCAAATCTGTCTCTGTGCGCGACCACGCCCCCTGCACAGAGGCTCTGTGAAACATCTGATCGTCGCACACCTCCTGACAACACGTCGGATGGTCGCAAACCCATGCAGACCTAAAGCGAAAGTGCGCAGACAAAGAGCAGCTGTGATTGGTCCTTGGTATGCCTTTCCAGCAGTCTGTGTGGTCGACCTTTGCGATTCGGTGCCGGGTCGTGCCATTTTTAAAAACCAATGAATAACAACAATGGATACTCTAGATCCATCTCCATTACAGTGATATCTTCCAGTCACGCGCCATTGTTGTTTTGGAAAAGAAACACTGCTGCTGGTGCCGCCGAAGAAGTTCTCGTGACCATTCGCTGAAGTTCCCGCGAGTTCTCGAATAGGCTTCTGCTTGCGCTTTGGTGGGAAACTGCTGTGCATCCCTAGAAATTCCAGACAGACATTGCAGAAGCATACCAGCAAAACTGGTTCGCGACCACACGCAAGCGACATTTGATGTTTGTGGTTGCAGAAGTATAATCCGCCCTTAAGTCACACTGGGCAGATGGCCACTCACACTGAGTATGATACTGCTGGAGGTTTCTTCATGTTAAAAGAGAGTCTTTCCACTGTCACAGCATGCATGCATGCTGGGTGTGAGAGATTTCCGTCAATCCCTTGATACACTCTGCTGGTTTTCCTTAAAAAAACCTTCTTGGGGTAGTGACTTGGGGCTAAATAAATAAGTTAAATTGAAAAGGACATTGGTTCAGTTTTTTACTCCTTCACCTAGCTAAAATGTATTCCTGCTGCTTCTCTCTTTTGTTATATTTTTTCCTTTCGCTCAACTTTCCAATACAGGATCTATGTATCTTTCTTCTTTATCTATAATCTCTATTAGACACTCTGTTTGGAAGGAGTCGGGAGTATTTCAAACTACCGTATGAAGAGCAAGGGCAGAGCTAGATGGGGGGCCAGGGGTGGCCATGGCCACCCTGACCATTTATTTCCCTCTAATACAGATGGTGGCAGCAGTACTCTCAAGTGGAATATTCATTGAAATTTTTCATATATTACTTACTATTTTTTCTTGTATTCATCATTTCTTGAAAACAAAAACACAATTGTTAATTATTCACACCAATATACTAACAGTAAACATGATAAGTACAGGATTCATGCTCTTTTCAAGTCATCTAGGAGTCTTCAGTGAAATCATAGATAAATAACTATTTTAATAAAAACGTATTAAACAATCGATTTATGTTATTATTTGTACTTGTAAATATCAATTTTAATCAGAATGATTAACTATAAAAGTAGGTAAGTAATGATGATGGAAAAGATGTTTGCCCCAGAACTCAAACCTGAAAATATTTAATCCACTATACCTTTTATCTAGAAAGCACGGATGTTTAAATATATGCGTCTATTTAAGGTTGTAGTTAGTCTCATCTTAGGCTTGACCCTGAGGTTCGGGTGCCTATCCACTTTCAGCCCCCCCTCAGTGTTCATTGGTTATTGCCTGGCCACCCTTATACAAATTTTCTGGCTGTGCCTCTGGTGAAGAGAATAATATGGCAGTACATAGAACGTTTTTGCTATAACATTTAATTTATTTTCTGGGTTTTTTATTAATTTTTATATTTTCTAACAAGACATCAGGGGGTTAACTGAATCTCCTCCTTGCCGGACGCACGCAGACCAGCTCAGGTGATTTCACGCAGGATTTCTCAGATGTGGGGTGGGGTCGCTTTGATGCGCAACGAGCCAGCGATGTGTCCACGCTAGCCTCAAACTTCAGTCAGCAGGAGGAGGCAGAGGGTGGCTTTGGTGATCTGTTCAAGGGGAACTGGAAATTTGGATACTCCTACATTGCACGTTACGAGTTTTGTTTTTTTGTTTTTTTCCTTCTTTAATCCAAGGATAGAGCTTGTTCATCTTTGGTTGTGCACTTCCTCGGGTTGAGAGTTATGGCCTGGCCATGCATCACGCGTGCTTGCTGCATCAACCGCTTTTGGACCGAGCTGGACAAGGCGGATATCGCAGTGCCTTTGGTCTTCACCAAATACTCGGATGTGACCGACGTCCAGCACATCCCCCATCACCCGCAGCCCAGGCAGAAGAGGGCCGCCGCGGCCATCGCCATAGAAACGCAGCCGCATCCCGAAGAACGAGAGGCCGCCAAGGCACCGCCCGCTGCAGGGGGGGCCGCAGCGGCCAAAGATGGGGGGTCCTCTGCGTCTGTGATGCGCCAAGACTTCAAGGCGTGGAGAGTGCGCCCCGAGCCCAGCTGCAAGCCCAGGAACGAGTACCAGCCTCCGCCGGCTCCGTTCGGCAACGAGACACAGTACCAGAAGGATTATAAGCCATGGCCCATTCCCAGGAAGTACGACCACCCATGGATCCCCAAACCCAGTCCCACCGCCGGCTCCAAACTGGAGCTCGTGGCTAAAGAGAGCGTGGAGAACCCGCTGAGCGGCGTGGAGAAGAGCGAGATCGAGGAGAAAATTCAAGAGAAGGAGTCAAAGGACGCGGCAAGGAGGGAGAAGTCTGCAGAGAGGAAAGTGGCGGAGAGAAGCGAGGGATCCGCAGAGGTGAGCGCAGAGAAACGGAGAGGAAGAGCAGCTGCGGATGCTGTGAACAGACAGATAAAGGAGGTTATGTCGACTTCTAGCAGCTACAGGTAAGAGCTTACAACCTGTAACCCTTAGCTGCATGACAGCATTTATTTACCTGTTGGGATTGTTTATCTTTGCAATAAAACAAATGTCACTTTGTCAGTGGAAACACGCCTTAGGGCACTGATATAGTGATGAAAAGGTTAAAAGTTATTGGAGAAAAAGTTCCCCAAAACGTAAGATATCAACTAAACAAAGAGTTAATCATCAGGTGGGATAGTCCTGTTGTATCTGAATGACTAATGTCATATTTTTATGTAGGCCTATTTATCTTTTTTTAGTAGTTTATTTTCCAGTTCTTCCCATTTCCTTCTGCAGCTCAGTTAAAGATAAAAGTCAATACTTTATTGTTAAGTTGAATTGATTCCAGAATATGAATCCTAAAAAGAAAAAAATCAGTGACTCCATCTGGGTTTCCTTAGACATATTTATATATATATATATATATATATATCCTGTTTAATGTTTTCAAAAACAGGTCAGCAACAATACTGGTAGAATATCATCTAAAAGATGGGTGCATGATGTCCGTTTTATTATTTGCATTTTAATTACGAAATAAAAAATATATATTTGTCCTTTGTAACTTTATTTTTCTTGCTGTTATTATTGTTTTTAACTCATGTTTTATGATCTTACATTCGTTTGCCTGTAGGGGGCAGTGTTGCGCGCCACACTAGGCTCCAATGAAGGCTTGAGTTCTGTGGCACCAAACCAAGATAAAAGAAAAACAGCTTTAACTGGAGTGGATACTGGGGTCAGATATCAGATTAGATTTACTCTGAGTTTATTGGTAGCTTTAGGGCAAAATGAAATGAATGGTACTCTGACTTAGCTGGTGGTTCTGAATCATCTGAAAATCAACAGAAGATATTTGGTGTTTCAAGGCGTCTCATTTCAGTCTATCCAGAAAGCAAGTTAAAACTGAGCCAAGCAAGTTATACAACTTGCTGTTTGTTCAGAAATGTAACTAACATAAAAAGAAGAAATTGAAGTTTGTATGCTTTTCATGAACTGGAAAAAAATGTTTAGGGGCTCTTGGATCATGATTGAGAAGCAGTCAAGGATATTGATTTTATAGATTAAACAATTTAAACAAAGAAAGGATGATCAATATGAATGAAAGACAACCTAACGTTTTTTACAGTACCTCATTCTGAGTCATTTTTGTCTGAAGACAATGTTTTTACCTCAACAAAAATGCCAGTAAAACAATCTTTAAGGGATAAATGCTGCTCTTTCCAGAGGTATATATTTTAACATTTAGCGTCATAGATTTACACAGATTTAAAGCAGGACTCTAAATATTAATTTTGACTTGAGCACATAAAGGCACTCTAAATTGTGTAACTAAGTCATAACAAAATGAGCAGAATGAGATAAATTGGCTTTGCTTCTATTTGTAAATGGGGAAAAAATGGATTAAGTTACATTAAATCCTTTCATTTATGAGTTAATCTCTCATGTCCCATCTTTTCCATTTGTGAGAAACCCCTCATATACAGCCTTTAAATATTTTTTCCACCATTCTTTTTAGGACTGAGTTTAAGGCTTACAAGGATGTGAAACCAGCCAAGCTGATCAAAGCTCCATCCCAGTATAAACCACCTGGAGAGGAGACCAGCCTGGAAACCAGCTACAGCGCCACATACAAGGGGGAGCAGGTGAAGGCGCAGGCAAATGACAACAAG